ATCTATCTATCTATCTATCTATCTATCTATCTATCTATCTATCTATCATCATCATATCTAACATATAACATCTTGCACGTCAATGACTTCTTCAGCTTCAATTACAATAGTACACACAATTTTATAATAATGTAAAATTCCGGAAATCAAAAAAACAGAAGTTTACGCCCAGCCGCAGAGTTGGAAAATCTTTTCAAAATCCTGGAAAAAAATCTATTTATCTATCTATCATCTATCTATCTATCTATCTATCTATCTATCTATCTATCTATCAATCAATCAATCATATCTAACATATAACATCTTGCCTGTCAATGACTTCTTCAGCTTCAATCACAATAGTACACACAATTTTATAATAATGTAAAATTCTGGAAATCAAAAAAACCAGAAGTTTACGCCCAGCTGCAGAGTCGGAAAATCTTTTCAAAATCCTGGAAAAAAAAAATCTACCTACCTACCTACCTCTATCATATCTAACATATAACATCTTGCCTGTTAACGACTAAGCGCACCTACCGTCCCTGTCTTACTGTCCCCATTGATCTGTATTTATTTCCTTGATTCATGTTTATGTTCATACCTGAACTTGTTATCTTGTACATGTTTGACAAACAAACAAATATCCGTCTATATTTATATCTATATCTATATAAATGGACCCCCTTGCGCGTGGGAGATTTCAAACGTTAAGACACCAGGATTAAATCCTGGCAAACCCACAGAAAAATTGCTCGTGCTTCAATTATTACAACCCAAAACCAGAGGCACAACAGACGCATTTAGTTCTCACTTTCTAAACCCAAACCCAATTCCTTATCTTTCCAACTCAGCAAAGTGCAGTTCCCACCTAACTCTCCTTTAGGCTCAAAAGTAGCCCTTAAAAATCTTCCTTTCGCCCAGGAACAAATTCGACTCGGCTCATCCCGTGTCGTAATGCAGCTCCTTGCTCAAATGCTAGGAGGTTTACTCCTGGGTAAATGGACAGGGGTGGTGGTGGTGGGGGGTGCCATTGTTCCTCTCTGGAGGTAACCTGAGTTCCCACCCCCTGGAAAACCTCCAAAGCGAAGTGACCCACGCCAAGTTGTGAATATTTACCACGGCTACTATGGCAGAGTGGATTTTTCCAGCTAGCTGGCTCTGTTTGCACCTCAACATGAGGGCGAGAAGGTTGGGGGGAGAGAGGAAAAAGGAGTAGAGTTACTGGCCCGACAGAAGCTGAATAAAAGCTTACCCTTTTTCTTTTTCCTGTGACGAGGTTTGTGCATGGCATCAATCTGGCCAAAGGCTGGGAGAAAAACTTCCAGTCCCCACAGCATGGAAGGAGCGAGGGGTGCATGCGTGTGGCATCAACGCGGACACACATTCAGACCGACGCTAGAGGAAAGCGTGCCAGGCATAAGGGGAGGAGGTTCCCAGCCAGGGGGTGGGGCAGCTTTGCCAAGGGAGAATAGAAGGGTCAAAGGATCTGCCTCCCCCTATTTAACAGAGCTCAGAAGAAAAAAAAAGAAAGCAAAAAACAAACAAACCCCAAGTTAAGTTTCACTTTCTATTCTCCTCCTTCTGGCTCTTTCCTCTCCCAAAGAGGGTGGGGTTTGTGGCCAGAAAAAGATATCACACCCTCCTTTGAAAATGGAAATTTCACTTCCCTTTCATCATCTCCTGTGGGCAGGGCTGGAGGGCCAGGTGCCTTCTCGCCCCACTGTCTCTTCCCCCCCCCCCCAAAAAAAAGAACTTTATTTCTTTAAAGTCTGCCAACCTGGCTGGGATGGGCCAGATATAGCAACCTTAAGAGAAAAGAAATGGGAAAAGATTGGAAGGAAGGAATGCAGATCTCGCTGGGTTTGCAAAATAATAAAAATGTAGGGACCGCCAAAACGGGAAGGCCGTCCTCGGTTTGCGACCCATTTCAGGGCTGTTCGAACTACGACTCATTTAACGGCTGCTGTTTGGGGGCACTGAAAAAATGGATTGGTGGAGGTGCTACTGCAAGAAAAGACGCAAACACACACCCAGACACTCAAATTACGTACATAACGCACCCCTTTCAGCCTGGGAAAATTATCTTTGTACACTGAGCAGATGGTCTTCAACTTATGACCGCAACAGAGCCCAAGATTTCCGTTGCTAAGCGAGACAGCTAAGTGAATCTTCTCTGTTTTTACGACGTTTCTTGTTCAGTGAATGTCAGTGGCCATAACATGGGGCAGCGTTCACTTAACAAACTTTTGCCCTAACAACAGATATTCGGGAGCTTAATTTTGGTCTTAAGCCGAGGTTTACCTGTGTTTAGGATTAAAAAAATAAATAAAAATTAAATGGCATGCTTGGATATAGGATTTAAAAACTTAAAAAGTATTATTCTTGGGTGGAGGATAAAAAAAAATACAATTCTTGGATTTAGGATTAAGAAGAAAATTAAATTACGTTCTTGGATTTAGGATTTTTTTTTTGAATTTTTTATTTTATTTTATAATAATTCCATTTCATTTCAATTGTGTGTCGACTGGGTACATATATATCTTGTGCTCACAATTATAACTATTCTTATAACCATTATTTAATCTATCTATTTTTTTTTAACAATCTTATTACTTTATATATTCATCTAGTCTGTTTTAATTTGTTATATTTTCCAACCATTGATAAAATAAACCCCATACCATATATAATATTCAGTTTCTTCTTTTTCTTTGATTACCAATGTTAATTTAGGATTAAAAAGAAGAAGAAAAAAATTGAATCCCGTTCTTGGATTCGGCTGTTCTGAAACTCAGAAAACCCCTACCCGACATTCAGGGTCCTTATCTAACCCCCATCCTCACAATACCCTCTCGACACACAGACCGTGATCTCAAGATCGCAGCCTCCGGGCGCCAAGGAGCACGAATTGATCTGGAGATATTATCACAACGCACGAAGGACGGCTGTAAACAGGAGACCATAAACTTTCCTTCCCAGGTATTGGTTAACAAGGTCAAATAACAGGCTCACCTCGCCAGGTGCAAACCGAGACGCGTGGAAGATAAACCACAAAGACCTCGACGATGGCCCCGGGGACTTGCATAAGCCACAACCGAGCCTGACAACCTCACTTAAGGGCACCCACCAGTCTTGCTTACCTGTACAGGTGAGTGTCAAAGTGTTGGGTTTTATACGCTCACCTGTACAGAAAACCCAGGGTTAATAAGTCCAGCCTCAGCCCATGGAAAACAGCCAGAATTTAAGAGGAGTTCCTTTCCTGGCTCACAAATTTTATCCAAAAATACAAAAAAGGGCAGCAGCTTTGTGAAATCTGGTCTCGGGAAAGATCCACGGAGGCGGGAGGGATCCTTAGAGGTCTTCTAGTCCAACCCCACCTCCCGTTCGAGCGGGAGTCTTCCAATCTTTTGCTACCGCCAATTAACACAGTTCTTTTCCTTACGATATTTCTAATGGGGAGGGTCTTTGGGTCAATCGCTCTCAGCCCAATCTACCTTGCAGGGTTGTTGTTTTATCGACGAGTGACTTATGACCGTTTCTCCAAACTTACGACCATCCCCATGTGACCAAATTTAGATCCTTTGGCAACTGCCTCACATTTATGACAGTGGCAGCATCCCGCATTCCCATTTCGCGACCTTCTGCCAAGCAACGGTGGCGTTAAGGGTCATAAAACACAGCCAAACTTTCTCACTTAGCAGCAGAAATTCTGGGTCGTAAGGGGAGGACTACCTGGATTGGCAAAGGGGATTTTCACGAGACCACGGGCAAGATGCACCTGTACGAACAAGCCTGTTTCCTTTTCTCTCTCATCTCTGGCCTTGAACACTTGCATGCACAAACGCACACCCCAGAGAAACACACTCCCCACTACGGTTCACTGCACTGTCTAACGGCCAACTGAGAACACCTTCCGTGCTTGGTCTAAATTGGCCCGTTACTTGAGTCAGGGAGATGAAATTTCAATACAGGAACAGTTAGCACACTTCCTTGTTTGATATGGGGGGGGGGGTGGTTTAGGGGGGGTTTAAACTAACTGGGAGGGAAGTTATTCAAAGCACGTTCTGGAATTGGGGAGTCAAGGCCAAACGTGTCATTTTCTTATCAAAGGAAAAAGATCTTCCTTTATCTTCAAGAGAAATTCTAAATTTCCTTCTAAAACCGTGGAGTTGAAGGGCCGTACGGTTCATCACAAGCCTTAAATTGTACCTGCCATGGCTAAATCAAGAATAAAATGAGATTTGAAAGGACACAAAGGTGTTCATGTTCATTCAGCCTATTTGTATATAAAGTGCACTGGCCAGTAACATTTTAGCACAATAATTATCCAATTTTTCCATTCGGTATGTCTAATAAGACTTTCTGGTAGTTAAATAAAGCAAATATCTATATTCTGTGCGGATGTCCATAGAGAAAGCCTTGAGTAAGCCTGCTACTGAATAATACATCCATTTATTTTCTATTATATGACTTTAAAACGACAGCGATTTTTCTAAGGGTTTATTTTAACTTATCCAAATCACCGATTTGTTTCTTGTAAACATTTCTGGGTGTTGGGATCTGCTTTAGAATACATGTGCCGATGTGAGAAATATGTTAAACTCCTCTCTCTGGAAATCACCTTGCCTTATTTATTGAGCCAAGTGTGACAACTATAAGGAAGAAATAATATAAAGACCGTTCAACAATATAAACAACTCCAACTTTGCACTGTCCTCTAATCCAATTCTTGCTCCGTGGATCCTCCAGCTGCAGAGATGCTCTACCTTGAAAAACTAGGAGCTCCTCTAAAAGAGAAGCCACTCCTCACAAGCCATTAGTTGGTGGCTATAATAAAGAGAAGGCCAGAATAGAAGGCCGGTCTGAGCAAGACCAAAAGTGGATTTACAGTAAGTCCTGGTGATGAAGAGACCTGCAGGACTGGTTAGGAAGAAGACAGAAGGCGGAATAAAAAAACAAAACTTCTGCAAATATGACTTTAAAACGGGTCAACCATTTGCGATCCAATCTGCAGAAAAGGACAGACTGTAAATTAAGATTAAGAGCCCAAGACAGCGACAGAATTCCACCACGTTCAATGCATTCCTTTTGCGATAGACGTTCTTCCCTGAGAATCAGAAACTCTGCTGCCAGAGCTGGAGGTTCCATCAGGGGGAAAATCCACATGTGGGCTTTACTTCCAAGCAAACAGGGCTGGGATAAGGGGCTGACACAGTGTGGTGGTGGTGGGGAGATCTGTGTCCTTTCCTTTGCTGCATGGTGGTTCATACCGGGTTGCACCATACTGCACTGCAGGGAATTGCACTTGAGCAAGGGGTCAGTGTAGAAGACCTCCAGGGTCCCCTTCCAGGCCTAGGACTCTATAAAATCCAAACATATAAGTCTATGAACTGCATGGAGTTGCCCTGAGCAAGGGGTCAGTCTAGAAGATCCCCAGGGTCCCTTCCAGTCCTATGATTCCATGAAAATAAAGCATCTAAAATCTACCAACTGCATGGAATTGCCCTGAGCAAGGGGTCAGTCTAGAAGATCCCCAGGG